AAAAAACTAAAAAGATGGGACGATTCCCCCGAGACATTCTATGAAGCTGAGGCGTCGAATCGGCTTACGTTACGGTTAGAGATTTCGGCTCTTCCACGCTATCCCGAGTGAACATAAAACTTAGTCTTAACCAAAAGGCCAGGGAGTGAGGGGGTAGCCGCCCACTAGAGCATATCTTTAGCTACCCTCTTAGACCATCGTACTATGAAGACACTTATTGATTTTTATACCTAATTGGGATAGTCTATTCGGCGAAGTTCTATGCTAATATATGACGTCACCATAATCCTTAGGGAGCAGCGAGCCAATCAATGCGCAGCTCAAAAATTATCATTTGTAGTACTTGCACGACGTTCCAGTAGCGAGAGGGAGAGGGCGAGAGATGAGAAAGGGGAGGGGTGGGGTGGGGGTGGAATTTCAATCGAGTTCGTAGCCGGCAGTGTGACGAAAAGTCTCACAAAAACAATCTTGATTATAGTATGCCAGGCGTAAATAAAGCGAGGMATTTTCGTTCTAGAATTAGAAATGCCATCGCTTGTGGACTCTTTATTTAGTTCGCAAGGATTTATGAGGCATTATGGACCTTAAAATGAGATCGGGTTAGATAAAGAACGATTTCAAATAAGACTAGTGTTTAAGGCGACTCGACTGGGTAATAGCTTTGACATGAAAAATCCCAAGTGCCACGTTGATTGTATACTATGCCGAGCGGTGATGAAGCTTTGAATTGTCAATTAAATTTGGTCAAAATGAAGACTATCTACGCCTAAATGCAGTAAAGTATCTTTGATTAAACTGGATTTTTATTCTCCCGTGATTTTGACTCCCGGACATCTAAATTTTCGTGACATTCTGTCCGGGAGGTCTGTCCAGACGTGAAAAATCCGAAGTGCCAAGTCGATTGTATACTATGCCGAGCGGTGATGAAGCTTTGAATTGTCAACGAAATTTGGTCAAAAGGAAGACTATCTACGCCTAAATGCAGTAAAGTATCTTTCATTAAACTGGATTTACATTCTCCCGTGATTTTAGTAAATTGTTTTGACTTGTCATGCTTTAACTCGGCATGCTCATTCGATTTCTTAATTTTTCAAATCGACGATGGAATCCAGTCTTCTACCGTGTTATCACGTGAMCATCAAAAGTACATGTCCTTCTTGCCTGGCTCAATTTTACGTTTTGAGAATGAACTGATTTCAAGTGCGTTTGATGACATCTCATATATCTGATAATGAAGGAATCTCATCTATCATGCATTTCGGTCCTGGTATCCTGACACTATTTAGTAAATCGTAGGAAATCATAAGACTTAATTCATAAGATGGTTTATTGCATTCATTAGGCTGCTTTGAAGACATATAAGCCTTGCAGTGTGCTCAGATGATATTAAATTATAGTTAAATTGAGGCTCCAGACCCCATGCTCTTCTTCACGCCCGCACCGGCTCTTCGATAATGACGGATAACGCCCGGACAACAGTCTGATCTTGACCAAGTTATCAAGTCACAATACATATTAAAAACACAGCATGACCGTATTGGCTGGGCTGTAGCTCTCGGAGGTTAGATGAAACTACGTGGTCACTACTCGCCTCAGACTCCAMGGGAYAAGGTCACTAATCCATAGTGAAGCCATGYTATTCTTAATATGGCAGAATCTTGAATGTAGAACTATAAAGGCATTTTATGGTTGGTTAGTTCTTCTGATAGCAAGACCGGTGCTGTATTATAATAAGTTCAAACACATGAAATATTCATGAAAATGAGGCCAAAAGTGTCACGTGATTCGAGAGCTTGAACGTCGCTAGAAGAAACGTCAGTGACGTACTCCCCGYGTAAAATTACTATCCAAAAATGAAAACTTAAAGCAAAAATGACTGGGAAATACAGTGGAGAGGACTTTATAATGGTGTAAATGTGAGTAGTAATCAAAATAGATTCATATGGYATAAATTCTTGCAAGATATCGTCAAATCTCTTGGAACATTTTTTACATATTTGATGAYTGAAGAAAAATCTTCAAAACTCACAGAAYYAATTCATGTAAAACGTCCATTACCTCATTTTGTCAAGACRTTATGTAATTKCGAAAAAGGGTTTGATGGTTTTGAGTGAAGTTTCAATTAGATTTTATTTGGAAGGCGCTTTGAAAATAGTGACTGTCAGCTACCCTAAATATTGACAATAACGTTGTTGGCTACCTGTATAGCCTGAAAAATRTAACGAAAATCGATATTAAAAGTGAATATTCTTTAATATCAGCTAGCCATATTGTTGCAGAAGCCCTAAATGAACATTTTGTATGTCYATATTATGTAAAAAGTTATTTTATAATTGAAMAAAGGCCATCTTATCGGTGCTGGTACACTAATTCATCCCATTTTATTTCACAAAAAATTATATCATGAAATWCTGAATTAATCTTGACACAGCTTAAGTAGTGAATTGAAAACATAGCACTTGTATTATTGGAGAAGAAAATGTCCTTACAAAACTACAGAGCATTATCAGAAAGAGTTCAATTATCATATCAATTTARTGYCGCACTTAAATGTTTTTTCATTTTCTTTTTCTCCGCAATCTTTAACATGCCGACATGTAACAGCTTCTATCGAATCCAGACTAAGCCTTACTCTGAATCGTTACAATGAACCTATTTGAAAGTCATTATAAAGAAATATGATATGTTGAAATTCCTTATATCGTTAAAGAGTTTTTAGCAAAAGAGAAATTTAAMAACGTTGTCATGGTGATGATCTTCTGACCTACCTGCCTTCAACCTGCAGTTTGTAGTGAATTTTGAAAACACTTTTATACAATAATAAATTGGCAAATATCTTTATCGTTACCATTATTATTGTTTTGTATGGTTATTATAGTTATTTCTGCCATTGTTTTATTATAAGGACGCGATTTTTTGATAAACAAATTTGCTCGTGCTTTACGCTGATGATTTTAAAATGGCTGTCAACTCTAAAGGCGTAAATTTTCCAGAGCTAACTTTTTTTGATCCAAAAAACATACATATGTGTTTATTGAAACAATAATTTTATTTTGAAAAGTAAAAAATACTATTATGTATGATAATATTTCGGTGCTTTTCCTCCATGGACATCCCATAATTCCTTCAAGATGGCTACCTTATTAGTGAATAAAGTTAATATTAAATATTGTAAAAAGATGTAATTACACCCTGACATGTTATAATGACAGTCAATTAATCCCTAACTCCATAAAATGATGTTCGTGAAAACAGCAAATCATGGTATTTTTTTATTTGCAGATTTGAGTTTGATTCATCAAAGTTGCAAGCATAATGGCGACGAGGGCTATGAAATACTTCATTCTGATTTGCTGTCTCGCTGCCATGACAACAGGTGTGTACTAATATGTCATTTCATGGATAAGTTCTGATATTGAGATGAGTCCCAACCTAAGCTGTTGTTATGATTGTATCACAGGCGAGCACGAAATCCTATCGCATGAAAACTAAGCCTAGATTCAAATCTTTTTCCAGGCAAAAAGAAACGACGCTCCCAAGAGGCTGACTTTAATAAAGATTTCAAAATCTTATCGAAAGCTGCAAAAATTYTAGTTGCCAATGCGCATGTTCAGGATTCTTCAGAAAGCCAATCTAATGTCCACGCTAAGCACAAAGAACCCATACAAAATAAACAACAAGTTGCTAAAAATGTTTCTTACACGAAACAAAATAACATTAAAGGTCAAGTCAATCAAAAGGCCATTGAAAAMCAATTGGAGATGTTAAGACTCAACGCCCTTAGAGGCTCACAAATGAATAAACCTAAGGCGCATAATGTTATAGGGGCTCAGAAGAAGCCTTCTAATCCCATGGTCAATTATTTGCGGTCCGCTATTGTKTACCCAGTCGTTGTGAATGGAAAAATACCAAAGGTGGACCTACAAACGCCTGGTTTCACTGTTAAAGCTAGGAGCAATATCGCGGGGAYGTCTAGCAATCGTATGAGMAATGTGAACACTTATSCTGGGTATTACCAACCAAATAATAAAAACTATTATAACAATGTACAATACAACAAAGGAAGCCCACAAAAACCATTGTTTAAGTTCAATTTAAAAATTGTTTTGTCAAGCTGAAATGCATGAAAGGAATCAAATTTATAATGTGGTGAATCAACTCGCTGGGTATTACCAACCAAATAATAAAAACTATTATAACAATGTACAATACAACAAAGGAAGCCCACAAAAACCATTGGTTATGACTCCATATAATAACCCATATTCAAGAAATTACTGGAATTACAACAATTAYGGAACACAAGCTGCYGCAAAGCGAGACTCCGGCTTACGTTATAAGTGGCAGAATCCCCCAGCTAACGACCTAATGGCAGCGCCTGGGTTGCCAAGGGGATGGTATATTCCTGCACAGACAAAGACACAGGTGCAGTATGCGTATCCTACTCATCACTATAGAGACTGGTCAAATAAGGGTAAACTTGCCAGTCAAAACGTCATTTCCGCTTCACGGAGACGAATTGAAAATGCTCAACTAGTTTATATGAAAAATACAAGGTTTGCAACGCCGTCGCCTGGTAACCATCTCCCTGGAAACACTGACATCATTCGAAGAAAAACTATCAATGGTCTCCCTGCAAAYATGAAAATGTTTCCAAAGAAATACATWAACAAAGCTCCGTTTCTTGGAGGTGTCTCGCCGCACTATCCTGTCCAATTAGGAAACAAAAGGCCTCCAATAGTGAATAATTTGGGGAGTCAAAGATTAGGTAACATGAAAGTGCAAAATGTTGCATCTTCTKCTCMGAATAATGCCAATCAAMTGACTGCAAATACGCCTGTCTTGCGTAATAATCCTAGYRCATTATCTAAAAGCGAAGAGATGGTGCAATCTTTAAGGAAAGGTGGATTGCTTATTTTAGGTGGAAACGAGGCTGGAAGGAACGTTCAGAAATTACTACTTGGGGAAAATGCCCCCCCAAAAAATAACATCAAAAAGCAACAACCTGCTAGTGTTCCAATGCCTTCTCGGAAAGTTATAGATAATGATACCACAGGCAAGAAACGAGCTCATGTATTTAAATCAAAGAGTGGCAATGTTGACCTAAGGTTACAGAAATTAAGAAATGCACTAAGCATATTAGGCAATAAGAGATCTCTTCAGCCAACTATTGCTACTAAAAGCTCTTCCACCATAAAAGACGATTCAGTCTTTTCGTCATTTTTGTCACAAGGGATGCTGTTTCCGCCAAATGCTAAATCGAAAATACCGCATATGGTTGCAAACAAACCACATCAACTAGTTGCCAATGGTATGCTACGTGGTCCCATGAAAATACGAGATGTTACAGGTGCCAAACAGGAGCTCGATGTCATTCAAGGAAGCTCCTTGCCTGATAATCACAGTCCCAGCCTTCAGAATAGCTCTGCTAATGTATCATATGTTTTAARTCAAGTTTCTCCAACCGTTTCTGCAAGCGTGCCTGCAACGACGATCAAACGCTCAGCGAGGTACAAATGGTATGCTCCAGAGTCTGGTATCATAGATAACAAATATCAATGGAACTATCTTAAGGAAACAAATTTTCACAGTCCGCATGAGTTTCAACAGAAAATTAAGGCTGATATCCCTCAGCAGCAAATGACAACACAACCTCCTACGCAGCCGGCTACGTTGGTACAGCAACAACGTGAACAAACTAGTCAACAACCAACTTCTCCGCCACAGCAACCAGCGGGAGTTACTCAACAACCAATGGAGGGTTCAGCCGCGGACTTAACTCAACAGCAGCAGACTTCACCACAGCAACCGACGGGAGCTACTCAACAACCAGTGGAAGGTTCTGCAGCAGAATTTGCTCAACAACAACAGCAGCAGCTGCAACAACAGCAACAAGATGTCCCATCAACACCTTATGCAGCCTCTTACTTGTCGGCAGGACATCCGGAGACGACACCCTCTGGTCAGCAGCTTAGTCCTAGCACCCAATCTCCACAGCAACAGCAACAACAACAAGAACAACAACAAGAACAACAGCAGCAACAACAACAGCAACAAGCTCTTCCTTCTTCACAACCACCCACATCCATGAATGCTCCACAACAAAATACACTCTCAAGTCAACAGACAGCTAACACCACTTACCAACAGCAACCAACGATGACTACATTATCACAACAACAAACCACAGCAAACAACCCACCACCTACCAACTCAACTTACCAACAACAACCAACAGCCAGCTCACAACAAGTGACCAACTCACAAACGACTCAGCAAAATCAACAACAGCAGACTTCAYCAACGACAGCATCTCCGCAGCAAAGAGATACTACACCCCAAGCCGAGGGTAGYGGTATCATCTTACTTACGAGYCCAACAGCTGCGGCAACTGTAGCCAAACAAGTTCTACAACATAGTAACTTCACAAGACAAAGTTATAGTGCGCCGGCTTATAACTACAGTACCTATGAGAAGCTATATAAACAAGCGGTTGAAGCGGCATATGCGCAAGCAGAACAGCAGAAACAACAGAAACAACAGAAACATCAAGAGGCGCCTTTGCGATCAACTGAACAACAACAGCCGCAAACGCAGCAACAGCAGCAGCAGTCGCAACAGCAGCTATCACAACAGCAACCTCAGTCACATCAACAACAACAGCAGTCACAACAGCAACAGCAACAACAGCAGCAGCCGGCACCGCCGCCGCCACCACCACCACCACCACCACCACCATCACCACCGTCACCACCGCCACCACCGCCACCACCACAACAGCAAAAACCACAGCAAGTACAAAAGCAGTCTGGACAGCCATCATTCAAAGGACCAAGCAAAATCGATAAAGCACCAATATCATATGATCTSTCCAAGATACGACTGAACGCTAACAATGATCCTATGTTAAAAAAATACTTAGATTCGCCTGATGATRCCGAAAATGCTGATGATGAAGATTCWCTCACTGAACCTGAGCCAACAGTAGGACTAGATTCACATCAAACCGCCTCTTACTTGCAACCAACGTCATTCAGAGTCGGAGCAGATGGCGATCCTTTACTCAATTCAATATTYGATTCGCCGCTTGAACCAAATCCTGTGGAGGGTTTAATATCCAGTCCAAGTCAGAGCTATGTCAAGCCAACCGCACCTACTGTGTATAGCAATCAGGCCTCATCATCAACAGCTTCTTCGTATCTATCGAATCAAAATTCTACCTTTGTACAGCCTTTTAAYGATGCTGTTGATAATTATGTACAGCCAACTCATGCAGCTAATGTCTTGGATCATACTGTTTATAACTTCAACGCCGTACCCGATGCTSCAACGTTCCCGGGGGATACAAATCCCGTAGTGGGTGTGAAACCACTCGTCAATGCAAATCCCGTAATGGGTGCAAGTCCGGTAGCGAATACCTATCCGGCAGTAAATACAAATCCCGTAGTTGGTGCAAGTCCCGTAGTGAGTACCAATCCCGTAGCGGGTACATATCCCGTAGAGCATCACCCGACTCTACAACAGTTTAATGATGGAACCGATTTACTTGCTTTTATCAGTTCGCAGAACGGAGCTATCCACGGTGCCCGCCCGACATCTCCGTTGCTATCTAAAAAGCCCATATATGATGAYAAAATAGAGACTGASTACGTKCCTATGGCCAAGCGATCTTCCTTTCCTATAGTATTRCACAAGCGATATCCTTACTTGTCATCAAGCTATAGCCCTCCTTGGAGCCAAAAGAAGTCAAACGTTCAGTTAGCAAAAAAGAGAAGAAGAGTACTAGAGTTGAAACGTAAGTATGATTTATGAACTTTAAGAATGTCTCATGAGGGGGTTCCAGCTTTGCTTTGCAGTTTCAAGACTGAAGGAGGTGAATCACTGCAAAAGTGCACAAGTATTGTTTTGAATTTATACCGAACAAACTATTAAGTTAACTGATAATGTGTTACCCTTTTGATTTGGCAAACAAAGTCTGTCAAATTTCAAAGACTTCGTCTGTCAAGAAAGGAGGGATCTGGAACACCTGGAACCAYCCCATGCCACCAGTTAGAAATCCCCTCTTCAAATACACTCCTAAATCCCACTTTTCCTGGGATAATATAACTTTATCAAAATTGTGAACCTCAAGTTATACACCTTGTGTATTTGACTATTTTACAAGTAACGCTTACACATATTTTCTTTTCTAGCATTAAAACGCAAGAGAAGACATGATCATTCAAAGAAAAAGAAGAGGAAGATGAAGAAAAAGAAGAAGAAACGCCATGTGAAATCTCTAAGAAAAATCCTRATGGAACTTATACAAAGATGATTTCAATTCATTTGCAAATAGGAGAAAATGCTTTTTATTGAATGTGGGATCAACTAGCAATGGACAACATTATTTTCTTGAACAATGACAATCTGTGGATTGGAAACTTTTTTATTGAAATATATATTATAACTGAACGGACTTTAAAAGTCGGCACAGGAACCCCGAAGAAGATGAAGTTACACTAATACGGAAATTTATCTTGTGAACTGCACAATAGCACTGCTGTAAATCCTTTAAAGTCCGATATGCCTCCAAGAACCTTTGTGCAATATTCTCTCACATAAGAAAATTCAACAACTTTGACTATTCAAAAAGCACTTTTCAACAAGAGATCATTTTGTAACACAACAAGGTGCACGTGGGTCTTTAATTTCCATATACAAATCTTTTGTGAAAATAAGAAAGAGGGAAAACTCTGTGACCGCGAAGAAAATCCGATGTTGTACGGATATATTCCGAAAATTACACGAAGAAATCACGACGAAAAGTCAGGACACCAAATAGCCYGAAATATAAAGGATAACTATTTCTTATTATAAAAAGCTAAAAAAATATATAAGTTAAAAACATATATTCTGGATGTATTTAAAAAATATCATTGATGTAAAAAATGTAAATAGATCAGATAGTGGAGTATTATCATTAGCRGAAAAATCGTAATTAAACCAATTTAATAATCTATTATGTCTGACACTTATTTCAGCCACAGCTGCGTTCAAATTTCGCGGGCTCCTAAATCACGCGGTTACTTAGCTGTSATTGGAAGCCGCCATTGTTCTCTGAAACAATTTTCCAGATTTTTGTTGCAAATTTACYCWAGAAAATAAMACATTCCGACTGTATATCTGTAGTGCATCAACAAGGTAAGATTGACTAAGGYCTTGTGTAMATTTAMAGCGTTTTAAARRTATTCTATCGTGTTTACAATCTGTTTAATCGGTCTTGTTCATCGTGATATTGGTAAATAACATGGACAACCAGCTAATCAAGTCAATTTTGCCTTTATACACATCATAATACATAATAATTTATGTTTTAMATACAGTTTCTTCCTCAAATTAATTAAATCGAACAATCTAGGGCATCGAGGAAAATAAGGGCATCTTAGCTAATGGTAAAATCTTCGAAACACAGCACCAGTCAAATAAATATCAAAACTGTGTTTTCCACTTCAACTAAAGTAAAATGACCTCATTTTTGAACGGCTCTATAACTCCAATACGCTTGGCACAGACTGTCAGTAAATATTACGTAAATTTTCTCATGAGAAAAACTCTTCGTGAACATTGAAGTGTTTGTTGTTGTTGACCTTTGTCACGCTCAGTTGTGTTACATTTATGGGGTCACGCAAACCACTTTAATGTCAGTCACCCGTTAAGTCATAACAGACTGCCGACGAAACTTACGAAGCGAGTAGTGTTTTCAAGCAGTGTAACATATCATTTGCCATATCCTTTTTAGATTTTGGTATTTTTTTATATATATGTTTTGAGGCTTTGACCAAGAAAAATACTCGAAAACGTTTTCCGCTCCGCGCCCTGGGGGTAAAATGGGAGATGTCCTTCCCGATATAAATAGGGTCAAGAAACGCATGTATTCATAAGAAAAAAATATGAAATTGCTTGTTTTCAAGGCAAAAAGTAAACAACCAATATGTTCCTAGTGCAGGTACATGGGAGGGACAACCACGGATTTGACACTTTGTCGAAACGACAAAGTCTGTATTTAAATACTTTAAATGATTTCAAGAAAAACGTCGAATGATATACGTCGCGTTAACGTATATACAGGACATGTAAATGCTTAGAAAATTAGGTGTTTACAGCTCGCGTTCAATGTGTAGACGTAAACGCGCAATGCCAGCGAGAAGTGTGTTCAACGTTTCAGTCTTTTCATCCTGTTAACTTGCGTACGGGTTAAGTAAAAGATCCATCAAACAACCGTTTACATTCTGACCGCTTACAAAGCGACTAGGCATTGACGGGGACGCGCAACGCCAGTTAGTGTGTCCAGCGTTTTTTTTAGTTTCAATGAAGAGACTTTCAGATCCGTGCGAAATCCTATTTGAAAATGAACAAGGATCTACTTTAAGAGAATTTCACAGTCATTGACTAATTAAGATATCTTGTTTATTGTTATGAAGATACCACTCGGTACCAAAACRCCGTACCATTATCCTGACTTCTGATTGGCCAATATCGATAGACAAGTGATGGCCAACTTGTGGTGTATTGTTGTCAAATTCTACCTTGTTTAGGTAACGAAATTAAAAATTCAACAGGTCAAAAATCAATATTTTTTTCCGCTAAACTGAAAAAAGTGCAAWTTTTATTTGAAATTTTACGCCTTTCTTTTAAAAAAGTCAAWAAGAAATGAAAAATTCTCATTTTTGTAAAGCATGGGGATTTCTCTTCACTTTCAGTGCAAAATATCAAAGTTTATTTACTAAAGTCCGACATGTTTGTGTTTGATCACAGTCGCAAATAAAACTCTCTTTCTTACTTTCYTTTTTGATTTCTCTAGTTTAAATGATTGCGTTGGTTTGTTGCATTGGTGTTCGAGATCCTCGTATGAAGAAGAACAAAATGGCGGCTGTCCCAGACCCATTGAACCTTACCACAAAAGATCATCCTCTGCCATGCATGATTAATTTTACCAGCAAACCAAGGCGATACCATGACCTCATCAGATGCATTCCCGATGGTGTAATGAAAACTATAGCAAGAGAATTCCATCGCAAACCTACSAAGGCTAGCCGACGGGAAAAAATACCAAAGGAACTGGGAGTTTTTCTCCCTAAGTTAAAAGAAACGTCAAATTCACATGACTTATAAGCTATAACATCGATTGTGTGTTGTGGAAAAAGAGTACCCGCCTTGATTTTCTGCTGCATATCAGCCCAAATTACGGGTAAGYACTGTCAGTATCGCGTCCCGGGAGCGGGCCTTAAGATTTGCGCTTATTTCATTCCAAGTTTCTCATCGCAAGCTCAAATCTTAAGCCCGTTCCCTAGAATATGTACAAGATTTTGATTGTTCCAAATTAAAGTCTTTTATTGAAGTATGTCTGCTAGAAGTACGCTCAAGAGATAGCCGTGTTGCTCTAGAGAGCTCTACATGACAGCCTGCGATCTCAAAACACACCGTTAGACAGACATATATCTWGACAAATAGGGCAAAATTCATATAAAATCTGATCATTGATTGAAATATGTTGATACMGCATCTTTAGCAAAGAGGATTTTCGCTTGCAGATTTTTTTGGTTGATGTGGTTCACTGCTCCTAAAATGAACAACGGATTTCGCGCATTTGAAAGTACTAAATACCATTTTTTCTTTGAAAATGTTATCTCTTATTATCTACATTAAATAAAATGCTATACAATATCTATTGTTTTATTATTTTGAAAGCCAAAGTTTTGTGTAAGGCCTTTTTTAGAATTATACAACATTGACTATATTTTGACGTCTTGATTTTTTTAGCTATTCACGCKAAATGCAAAATGTCTCTTCATCTTTCTAATTTCAAAACCCTATTGTAAGGTACTATAAATACTCCAAAAGCCATTTTGAAACCTTCTATTTATAGAACGATACTCGATTAAGCACACAAGAAGCAATTAATGKGAATAAAAGTCGGGAAAGTGCATTAAGATACTGAAATAACGCTGATGCAACACACTCTATAGTATTCACCGTTTTGTTTGACCCACAGACTAAACACTAGCAAGACAAAAAGTCGTAACTCKTGAATTGAATGTTTCTTGGAATTTATGAACTACTAATCCACGAGCTACYTTGACRTRTGTGAGATTTGCGCGATCTTAATACTTTTTTAAATCGTTTTGCTTAATGCGCTCAATATGCACCTACTACCCATARTAAACATTGCAGATGTTCAAGKTATAATTGTTTTATAGTATACCATGGCTTGGTAGCGTATTTTCATGCATGTKATTTAAAGAAATGTACTTTGTGCTATCTCTGCGTTTGTTAACAGATTGTTGTTTTTTTTCGTAGGTTTTCTATAAAATGGGTGTTAGATTTTTAGTGCTGCTCATAGCGCTTGTACCACTTGCAAGCTCTAGAGGTAAGACTTTATACTGAWAATTGCACTTAATTATCAACACTCAAAGGGAATCGTACTTAACTTTATTAGTTACGCAATGTTTAAAGACATTGTCAGGCTTTTAGAGTGTGGACACAAACCCGTGAAACAAAAACTTTCTAAGATGTTAAATGGACGCAAAAACAATGGAGATATAGCGTAGTAGAGTGTATAAGTATAGTATGTTCACAGTTTTTTAGATCTTACTCTATAGCCAATGCGCTAAATCCGTGAAATACATTCTAATAGATCTTGTCAGTGAAAAGTGAGTTTAAAAGCGATGSCTTGGTTAAATGAAAACGAATAATAGTGATCAAATATGAACTATTAGTAACAATTTTGGTTTAATTTCCCAGCGGATTTAGCGTTCATGCTGTAGTGTAATTTTAATTAATCCGTGAAATTGGCTTTCGTTTTTGACTTCATTACTCATTGTTTTGCGYGTTTTTCTTTGTCTTTTCGGTGTAAAACACATTATGACACTTTGACTATAATACAATGTTTCAAGGGTTTATGGCCAGACTAGTTTCTTAACGTGTTCTTTTAAAACACTTTATGTAGACTTATTTAACGCTTATCTTTATATTGAGACTGCAAATATGTTTTAAATGGATAACAAACATTATCAAAAGATCGCGTTAGATTCACTACACAGATTTGATTCAACCGAGCTTCGGATTCAGTGCCGGCAAGGTTTCCTATATAAAAAAACGTATCGGATGAATTTCATGTAGTTTTACAGACTAAAACTTTAGTTTTATTGCTTCCTTTCATATTCGAGTTGCTAATTGTTTAATTTTGGATCAGCAAACACCATTTTCTCATTTTTTATTATTATTCCTAGTTCCTTCTTCTCGTGCTAAGCTATTATTTCAAACTCCCAAAACTACATTTTTTTATAAACTGAGTTCTTTCCTGTGGAATTAAGTTTGCTATTGGTTCAAATTGAGGTCAACAAGTGTGGTATTKCCCTCGTATTTTGATTCTTCGGAGTACCTGCACTTATTGTTGACCCGTTGAAGCTCATCAGATCATAAAACATCATCGCAGCAGGGCCTCTGGTCAAAATATTTCCAGTGATTTCACTCTGGCGATTTCTGTAAAAAAACAACTGTTCCACTAAAAACTTTGATTGACTTTATAACAAAATGAAGCTATACTTTTTCATACTTAAAGAAACGGCAGTTATCCATGCTTGATGTAATATAGTAATTAAATGCTTGGATTGACTTGGCGGAAAAWTTACTTGGAAAATATTTACTTTAGAAAAGCGCAAAATTATATGAGAAACKTATGAGGGAGGGGAGGGTTGTGTACAATTTTTGTGGTGACTCAAAGCTTTATGTCTAAAGTTGAAATATTGCATATGATAGCTTTAGTATGTAAGAATCATCTTAAATGATATATGATTGTTGAGATGAATGGTTGTTGTAGAACAAGTGATTTCATTTACAGATTTTTACGTAAGTAAACGTAACGTACATAACGTGTGAACATAAACGCGTGACATTTTACCAAACGTACAATTTACTTACATGACAATTGCGTACGAAAGTGCGTTGTTTGCGTTACCTATGACTTGACGCACTAAAACAACGGRCATTGCCTTCGCATCTAATAGCTTACATAGTAGCCGATTCGCTAAGTAACGCACCTTGCATGATACGCCGTGCGTGACATAACTTAATGCGTGACACGAAGCCCCCTCGTAATAAGAGAACTGGTTTTGTGACGTTAGTTATATTTGACTTCTTTCCATCGATCAAAGAATTTCGTAAAGACATTGAATGCCGCTCGTCTTGAATGGTCCAGCTCATCCTCAATAGCACTAATAACGCTGCCTTTATATTTATGATTGAAAAATAATTCATTGGGATATGTGTTTGCAACCTGGGGGCTAATATTGCTCTAATAAGGCCATATTCAGTGTAATTATGATGGATTATAGGTATAGTTCAAGGATTGATAATGGGATATAAGTTCACGCTTATGAGGGGCTTTGGGTTCTAACTGCAATTAAACTAAWCCTCACATCGGTTTGGAAAAGTAAGTTTTTCACCAAGAGAAATGTCGGTCTAATTTTTTTAAATTCCAATGTTTAAAAAAAAAACTTTTCAAAGATTTGCTTGGGGTGTATTTAGCTATATGCGAGGCATTTCTCATGAGAACCTGGATTTCCAAACTGTAATACTATGCACATTATACTAATTATACGAATTTATACTAATTTATGCTAATATCACTAATTATGCTAATTTTACTAATCRTGCTAATTWTATTKATGCTAATTTTACTAATCGTGCTAATTTACCTTTGACGTACCCGACAACTTTGCAGACTTAAGAACRGCTTCCACAGTAAACCGCAGAACAGCGCCCGACCCGCTCTTGGTTCAACTATTTAACGACCCGACCGCGACTAGCCAATTAACGAAAAAACTACTCGACGGTTCCGACGACGGTTCGGCCTCCGGTTCCGGCCTTTGGGCAGCATCCGGTGATGGGCCGAAGGCGTCCGACGACACGACTGCTAAGACTGTTACAAAACCAAACCCTGTCAAACTAGYGAACGACGACGCTACTGTRTGGGCAAACTCGGGTTCGGGTTCGGGCGCTCTGCCTGCTACGAAGACTGAGGACGAGACTGTAGAGACCAAAGATGATAGCGTCGCAAACGTAGACGTAAACGCRAAGAAATCGTCGTTTATTCCTTCGGAAACGCAAACGGTTACGGATCAAGTCGAGGAAGGTAACAATGTTCGTGATTCTACAGCAGCACCAAAGGGAGACGCCAAYGACATGTATGACGCGACTGTTGTCAAGAAGAACGAGGTCCCTAAACCGGATGACGCCACAGGTGAGGTGGACGCATGCTCAGTRTGACTGTGACGCATGCTGTGACTTCTTGTGTTAGATGAAACTTAACTTCTTGCGTGTTTGTGGAGCAACATCTTCGCTGTTACGTACAACCAATCTCGTAAAAGTTGTCAAGTATAAAAATGCATGCGAAGTACACACTCGATTGTGAAGTGGTCTTTTTCGGCTGGACGCGTCTATCAGAAGTCTTTTTTTCACCCGCTTGAGGTTGTTTTTCGGTTAAAAAAGAAAATAATGTATATTCTACGTTGCTTCCAGATGTCTGTTCTTTGGTAAATGCTTTTGATACCCTAGGAAAGTMTAGGCTGAGTTTACAAGTTTTCCGAAACCGCATGCTTTTTGTACGTTTACACAGAAATACGGTCATCGTTTTCCGTGGTTTCATGTCAACGATGGTTCAAAACACATGAAAGATGAGTGATATTAAAAATATCCAGATTCGTGTGAACCACAGTTAGAGGATGCTCTATTTATCACTCTCAGTGTTGAATATGCGTAAACGCAGCTTCAGGATACCTGTGTCGGCTCATGATCCAATCAGCAAATAGCGCACATTGCACATGCGCATCACCTTCAAATTAAACTCATTACATGTAATCTTCAAGTTGTTTCAGCATTATGGTGTGTGTTAATCTAATAGCTATTTTACAGGTTTTTGACTTAAGTCTCGCACTTCGTCATTGTTTGTTCCTGTACTTACCCGATAATCTCCAAGATTTTCACTCACATTGTTCAGAAATCATTTATTATATTTGTGAAACACCTTGTAACAAATTGTATAAAGTTGTCCTTTGCTCTTAAACTTAATTGTTTTACTTATATGGACAATTTCAGTTAACTATTGAATACAATTTARTGAAAGGKCAAAATGTACGGAACTCGRTTGAAGTAATACTTRTCTATGACTCTGAAAATTGAATCAYTTTTATTAAAATTTGTTTTAMATTCTTCAATCGTTTCAGCCACAGGAAAATCAGTTGTTGTACATACCCCAGAGGGTGGTCTTYTTCCTCTGACGTCAGACCAAARTGCTCAGCAACAGTCACAGGACCTTTCCCAAATGACTGCACAACCCCAGCAAGATATGGCCCAAGTTGCTGCTCAGCCCSTACAAGATATGTCCCAAGCCGCAGCCCAGCCCCTACAAGACATGTCCCAAGCTGCAGTGCAGCCACAACAGGTCTCTCCTCAGCCAGAYATGTCCCAGTATGCAATGCAGCCGCAACAAGACATGCCCCAGGACGCTCAGCAACARGACGCCGCTCCCCCACAAATGATGGCTCCTAATATGGCAAATAGTACTCTGTACCAAGGAGCTCCTTTACAGTCCAACGACCAAGGGTAYGGWCAGTACCAGGACCCCTCACAAGCCGGGGCTTACACACAGGATTCTAACCAGGATCCCTCTATGGACCAACCCTCAGTACAAGGACAGGCCGCTGTAAATCCTTACGCYAGTAAGTTAATGATGGCTTTATGCAGACGTTATATCGAATTTTTAAACTTAAATAGTGCTCTTATAAGAATGAAACTCCAATTACCTTATATAGCAGAGAGGTCGCCATCTTGGATCAAAACTGCTATACAAAATGGCGGCCATAACATAAAACCCTTCAAATAAAAAAGCACCAACCATTTGTGCTACATTTTCTTTAAAATGCCCCACAAACTAAAGGCTAGAAAGATAGCAAAAATGATGATGAAAATKATGATTAYAACATTGATGATAATCATCCYTCTTGTTGACATTGTTTTCGTGTCATTCAGTATAAGATTTGCAACTTTTTCAGGCCAAGACTACTTTGGTAATCAATTAGACCCACAGACAGGCTTACCTATTGCCGGTATGCAGCAAGTACCAGTCTTCAAAGGCCTCAAAGCCAAGAAGATTGACATTAAAGAAGGTAATAAAACTAATGCCTGTCCTGTTCCRCRGGCAATATTCCCTCGGCAGCAATAGACYTCTGAACCTTTTACGTCACTACTTGATTTTCAATGCATTGTGGGATCAGTTTCAAGAGAAAATAAAATAAATCCGCCGTGTTCTGTCCCAAACATATCCTACAATGCATTGCGTATACGGTACATGACGTGAAAACCTCAGAGGTCTATACTCCCGTTTCGACTTCTCCAATGCTCTCTGTTCAGCTCATTTGTGTGAAAAATATTCCTAATTATGGCAAAAGTGTAAAGAAGGTAATAAAACGAATGCATGTCCTGTCCCTCAGGCAATATTCTTTCGGCAGCAATACTCCAATGCTCTGTGTTGGGCTCAATTGTGTGCAAAGTATTGCTATTTGTTAAGGTAAAAGCTAAAGTGTGATATTTGAATCGTCTTTAAAAAATTCCATGCGTTTTCTTGGGCTATCAATGAAACAAAAGAGTATGTTGCCTAGTTTCGAAGCTAACACAGAAATCGAAATTGAAGTATTGTTTTCGATCAAGATAGTAAGTCAAATTTTGTTTCAAGGGATTGATGACTTTATTCGATTCATTCTAATCTATTTTATTCTTTAGATGAGTGTGAAGACATGTATGATGCGTGCCCTGATATGGCAAAGAATGAGTACTGTACAAAGTTCTCCGACCTTATGCATGTTCAGTGCAAGAAGTCTTGCGGTTTCTGCCGTACGTATAATTTATCATACGTATAATTTATGTTATGTATATTCTATCTTACGTATTCTGAATTTATCCTACGTATAATTCATCTCGTGCACAATGTATGTTACGTTTAATTTATCTTACGTATTATCTAAGTTGCGTAAAATTTAATTTACGTATAGTCTATGTTACGCGTCATCTATGTTGCGTAAAATCTAATCTACGTATAGTCTATGTTACGTATTATCTATATTGCGTAAAATCTAATCTACGTAAAGTTTATGTTACGCGTTACCTATGTTGCGTAATATCTACTGATAACTGACTTTTAGTGTGTTTTTCCTACGTTTAGAAGTGAAGGACGAAGCGTCAGGTGATTCAGGGTCGGGTTCTGCTATGTGGAATGACCTACCACAAGAAGGTAATTATCATGACATATCGTATAACCTTAATACATTGATAATTCAGTCGAAAGGAAATAAAATTAAGTCAGCCTTCTTTCCAATATTAATCCCTTSTAACGTTAACTACAACAGTTTCAAAAACGTTGACGGATTGAATACAAAAGGAAAGTTTCGAAAGGAATCTTGTCATAAATTATGATGTAGTTGAGAACTTGTCCTTTTCTTCGAAAAGATGCATGCATTWTATGTTGCGGAAGGTCATTTGTGAGGTCCAAAAAAACATAACTTTGACTGTTGAGCTATATTTTACGCGTTTCAAGTTTTCATTCTGCTAGAATCCTCCTTTTTTGTGAGAATTTTTTTTATCAGCTGAATCCTTTTCAACTGAGCTAGAAAATGACTTGTGTCACAATCATTTCAGCTCATTTAGATCAGCTCATCAAAAATCAGCATTTTTGAAATTCTTGTTAAAGGAATCATCAATTTTGTATCGTTCTCTGCTTCTTTGTCATTCATTTTAGATCTCCTTAGCTCGCCAAGTGTTTTCCTATGTTATATGGRGTTTTTACAGTTAATTACTGACATAACCAACAACTACTAACCGAAGCTAAGACCGAAAGGGAACGTGGGAAGCATGGCTGTGAAGTGCATGATGGGACAATGTTTGAGATGTTTAATACTGTTGACCCAGAGGCATGCATTGAATTCCCATGTTCCCTTTCGCTCGAAGCTTTTGGTTTTAAAACTKCAAAGACTTTATAATTGACTGTAGAGTACTTTTCTACTTGTAAATACATCAACTTACGTCGACGTAACGAAACGAAATCTTTTAAAACAGCGAATTAAATTGGTAGCATAAAACACGAAACGCAACCTAATCTTTCAAAACTGAACACGAAACAACGATCTCGACGAAACGCGACGAAATGTTAAACAAACATGGAAAACATTTGGTTAAGCTTTKCTTAAAATGTCAATCCAATTTTTTCAATTTTGTGCTGATAAAAATAAGTCTTACGCTTTGTATTCTCCGTGAATATTGCATGTCGCCCCTTAAGATAACGAAATCCCGATCTGGAGAAAGTCTGGCATTCCTTCACCAGGTGACAAAGTGGTGGYAGGAGAATCTGGCTCTGGATCAGCCATCGCCGCTGATGCMTGGTCAAACTCKGCCTCTGGTGAGAATATGATMAAGGGAGAGGCTGATGCAGTCGCWGATGACGAGCCTGCTCCAGCTGAAAAGAATGAGTCAGCGGTTGCTGATACTTTGGAGTCGTCAGGTTCTGGTCAGCAGTCTACTTCAGAGGAGTTTGGATCTGGTGCTAATCTTGCAGAAGGTAAAATAGCGGGAAATTTAAAGTRCTGTGAGTGTATGTACGAAGGGATGATCGACTGTAAAATGCGTTGTTTATTGTAGATCTTGCYACTGGTACAGTTAGCAAAGCCGAACAGGATACCAGCGAAACAAAAGAAACCAACGAATCTGAAGAAACTACTGAACCTAAATCAAAATACAGCGAAATTCCTGGAGCTCCACAAGTGATCATCCAACAGCAACCAGCTGCTGARGTGTATCCTCACATTGACTTGAAAACCATCGCAAAGGCCGTCGATGCTTATAAGGTTTGTGTACTTTGTGTACGAGTTTACCCGTGAAACAGCATCATACAATATGGGGGAACTTTGTGATATATAAAATCCCCTGTGGCCACATAGCGCTATACATGCGTCAGGAGTTGCGGAGAACAATCCGCCCCTCATCTTGAAAAGTGAGATTCGAATCACTGGATTATAACTCCTAAAGAAATTAAAAGTTAATGTCAAGTTAATATAATACGATATGATGATAGATTAGTTGACTTAGCAACTACGAAATGTGTTCTAAGGCGGCACAACATAGTGATTCGGGTCTCACTTTTCAAGATGGCGGATGCATTGTTCTCCGAAACTCCTGACACATATATATTTTGATCTGTAAGAGATATTATTAGAATTACAGAGTTTTATAAGAGAAATATAGCCCTTTGTGTTTCATTAGTTCATATATTTGAACAATTRCATAATTAGTCTA